CTTATCTGCACTTAAGACTGCACTTTCTTGTTTTGCACAACGAATGAATATTACATACATCAGAAAGTATGTGATGAGAGTAGCAGCAGTTATCGGCCAAATATTAGAATATATATATCGGCAAAAAATCCAATATTGTGCATCCCTAAAACAGATCATGTTCTGGCTGCTTTTGGTGGTACCATCACAGGTGGAAATGCCACCGACGTTTCGATTAAAAAAATGGTGTTGTTGTTTGCTGGTCACAAACAGCGGTCTGCAGCTGGCAGCTGTGTCGCCTAAGCGTGTGCACATTCGCACGCACACCACCGCACAGCACCTCCCAGCTTCTCTTTTCAAGACAATCACTGTTTGGATTTATCTTGAAAGGAGAAGCTGAAACATGTTGATATTTCTTTTGTGAACATCTGAAGGAAGATTTAGACGTTTGATTGTCGACATTCATCCTGAACTGAACCGTTGCTCCTGTTAGCAACATGAAAGATGGCCGACTGACAGTGCACATCACACAACACTATTTCTGTTTCTCCTTCTCACACGCCTGATGTCAATGGTCCTTAACCCAAACCTGACTGACATCATGTTAGTGAGAACGATGGGCAGCAACTGAGTGAAAAGACAAGCAGTGGGAACCCTTGAACGCCTCACACTGTCAGGTTTTATGTGACTGTCAGCACTGACTGACCCACACTGGAACACACTCAGAAATCACATCTATAATCAGACTGGTGGCTGTAATTAGCTTCTGTGCCTTCATCAATCTGCAGCACTGACAGCTGGGTTTGTTCTACTGCATCTGACTGACAGTTTGTCTTTGTGTTGAAACAAAGCTTCTGTCTGCTCAGTAATGACACAGAGGAGGCTTCAGCAGCAGAAGAAGAAGAAGAAGTCTCAGAGCGTCCTGTACTTCACAACCAGAGGACAGTGACACATCAGAGGAAACCTGAGCTCTGCAGGTTTATCACACACACACAGGAAAACAGCACACATGAAGACAGATAACACACACATCAGATATAAGGTCATACTGTGTGTGTGTGTGTGTGCATGTGCGTGTGTGTATGTGTGTATGTGTGTGTAACAGCAAATGGACACAGCAGCAGCTTATCTCAGTTCTCCGAGCATCGCTACAACAAAAGGTAGTGTGTGTTTGTGTGTTATTTCCACAGAGACGTTCTCTGAGCTCCTCTCTGCTTTTCATCCCAGTATGATTCACTTCACACTGGGAGCTGACCAGAACAACCACGGCTACAAACAACAGCAATTATATTAACAACTGTGGGGAAGAAAAAACTGGACCTCAACACAAAACAAATCTCGTCTCTGATTCTAGAAACTGAGTTAATATGTGACAAATTAAACCAAATTCAAGAGACAGAGTCCAAGGTGACGTCTTCAAATGTCTTGTTTTGTCTGACTAACAGTCAAAAACTTAGAGATTTAATTCTCATTCATGTTCATTAGGATTCGGATCGGGTGGTGTCAAGGTGTTACGGTACAACAAGTATTTAGAAACCCCGAAGGTGTCATTTTAAATACAATCAAAAATACAGATGCTCCTCTTTTATTAAACTGATACGGAGATGCTGTATTGAGGTGACGCACCTTAGTGCACAGCATGTGCCATCAGAGGTCAGACTCGAATGGTGGAACTAGCTAGGGCTGGGCGGTGTGACAAAATCACATTTTTTTTTAAAAAAAAAAATCATATCGGCGTCATGGTATTTGACAATATTTTGCTCAGGCTCGGCCCACTTGACATGCTGATGTGTTGTGCTATGGCCTATTCAAGTGCTGGAATTTGTTATTTACATGACA